ACAATTTCCATCTTTATCATGACATCTGCCAGCCAAAGAAATTCCAACTCATATTTGGGTAAATGAAGTCAATATCCAGTTATTCAGGTCTTATTTATTGGTCAAGATGGTGGTAATGCAATGCTTCCATTTGGGAACTCACAATCTTTTTGAGGATGTGTCTCTCAGATTATTAGAAAGGATCAAAAGATACTTCACTTCAAGTGACATATGTACCTCTATGTTTATTGTAGCATTATTTATAATTGCCAAGATATGGAAGCAACCTGTGTCCATTGACAGATGAATGGAGAAAGCTTCTTGTTTGGGACAGGGCAGGTAAGGCATACCTTTACCTCTGCCACAATAGAAACTGTTAGTAACTTTTACTCTAGCTTATTGCTCTGGGAAAATCAGAGGCCCCTCACTAGATATGCAACTTCTCTTTTTCCTTGCAGATGGTTGGAAATTGCCCAACAGTTCCTGATCCTACTGTTCAAGTATACCACATGTCCACACTTAAGAGGAAAACAGGAAACGATGAGGTGAATTGTCTAGAGTTTCTCAAGTGGCTATCAAAGATCTCCTAAAAAAAACAACTATCTCATTGTTCCAGTACTACTCACTAGGATAGATATTAAGAGTAGATAGTCATAGTAAACACACAGCTTAGAGATTACAGTTGTTAGTGGTTTTACATTTAGCATCACGGCAGCTGTCATGACCACCTTTTCCGTAAATGGCCCCTGTAATAGACCACATACATCTCAAGTTCTAGGGGCTCCAGTGGTGTGGTTCCCAAGGGAGAGCTTGAGTGTCATCAATTTTTACCCATTGCCAAAGCAGCCTGAATACTGACTGGAGAGTTTCACTGGTGGTCTCTTCTTGACATCAGGACATACTCTATGACTTGCCAGAGTCACTACAGGTATGATGTAATTGCATTTGTTCTGGCCCCTCCTCCCCTAGTAAGCAACATAGTCTCAGTAAGGGGATACAGCATTTTTCAATTTTTCTAAAATGGGACTCAAAGTATATAATTAATGTATGTAATCTAATGGCTGGGCATGTACTTTTATGCTCCATGGTCTTGAACATGCAGCTGTGGTTACCACTCCTTATCATATATTGTCCTGTGATTACTTTGTCCAATGACCTAATTGTAACCAAATCTTGGATAACTATTGGCTTTGTGCATCTCCATCCACAATCCATATGGCACCAAGTTGGGAAACTGAATACACTGTAAATGCATCATCTATAGAGAAGACAATGCAACAGGAAGGGATTTGGGGGAAAAGCCTGTTAGATATCAGAAAATGTCATCTGTACATTCATTCTTAGAAACTTTTAAGTCTACGGACTGGGCCACCTAAGGTAAAAGACATTGTTTTTAGTCAGCCAACAATTCCTAACAAAGCAAAACTTGAGGAAGACCAACAGGTCAGAAAAGGGGGTAGGTCATCATACATTTCTTTCCTACTATGGTTTCATATGGTTTCATTTGCATGCCTTAAAAGGGGATCTGTTCCTCATCTTACTTGGTCCTGTGCATACATTAGTGGGACGACTGTTGTGGTTCAGTAAGTAGTATCCACATTGTCCTACCCTAGGTCAAATACTTGCACCATTAGTTACTTGGAGCCAGCTGACATGACACTTTCTCTGTACACAGCTGGGACAAGGGCTTCCACAAGGCCCCATCAGGCTAGAACTGTCCTAATATTAGGGTCAGGGGATACTTTTTTTCCATGAAGCAAAAGCTAACCTGTGGTTACTCACAATTTGTCCCTAACACCTAGAGGTTTTCATGAATGTATCCTCTGTAGCACTCCAGGAGGTTAATGCCTTGACAGAAATGTCTCCCAATGTAGAACAATACTCAGTAACTTTTTAGTACCCATAATCTCTTGACTTTTCCTACTGGATTTAAAAGCTGAATAATTAGGGTTGGGGATGTAGAGTATAGCTATGGAGTATTTTCTTTCTGTGCATAAGAGGTAAAAGGGTAAGTGTCCAGCTCCTAGCACCTTTACCATCATATTTGACCACTTGAACTATCTCCTGGGTATAAATTCAGTCTGACTTTTAAAAATAAAGTGGAGTCCTCTATGCCACTGTTTAACAATCCAGTAAAAATGATATCTAGATATATATTACCAAAATTTACACAGAGGGAGAAACCTAAAGAGTACAACCATTGAAGAAATAAAAATGTTGCTAAGGATACATCTCTCCCAATTCCCTCCTCCCCAGAAAAGGATCTGGCCACTACTTTTAGCCTTTAATGAATAATTCCCACATTATGTAAACTCTTTCAGAAAATAAAAGAGAAACTCTCCAAATACATTTTGGAAAGCCAGGAAATCCTTAGTAAATTCAACCTAGTTCTCTACTTAAAAAAAAAAAAATCACCACAAACAAATAGGTTTTATTCCAGGACTTCAAGGAAATTTCAATCATTTGGAAACTTGTAAAAAAAAGTGAATTACAAAAATAAAGGACATGACCCATAAAATTATACCAACAGATTTTTTTAAAAACTTGATAGAACTTAGCAACTCTAAGTATAGTAATAATTGCTATAGTGGGTACTAAGTGCCAAGTACTGTTCTAAATGCCTAATATTGATGAACTAATTGTATCCTAACAAGCACAGCTTTACTTTACAGATGGAAGAACTGACACACAAAGAAGCTAAGTAACTTGCCCAGGGCCACACACCTAGAAAAGTGGTGGAGCCAGGGTTTGAATTAGGGTACTAGGCACAAAATGAGTGTTCTTAACTACTGTACTATCTTGCTTTTTCTAAAAACAGAAATAGAGGGGCGTCTGGTTGGCTCAGTTGGTAGAGCATGCAAATCTTGATCCTGTGGTCATGAGTTCAAGCCCCACATATGCATGGAGCCTACTTAAAAAAAAAACAAATAAATAAATAACAGGAATAGAAGGAAACTTCCTAAACACAATAGAGTGTTTATCAGAAACCAACAATGAAGTAACAGTGGTGAGATGTCCAGGGATACACATAGAAGATATCAATGAGGCCCCTGTATGTGATATCCTACACATACACTTCCATCTTTAGAAGCCTCTAGTCTGATTGGGGTGGGGAAGGGGATTTTTTTTTTTTTTAAAGATTTTTATTTTTTTATTTGAGAGAGAGAGAGAATGAGAGAGAGCATATGAGAGGGGGGAGGGTCAGAGGGAGAAGCAGACCCCCTGCCAAGCAGGGAGCCCGATGAGGGACTCGATCCAGGGACTCCAGGATCATGACCTGAGCCGAAGGCAGTCGCTTAACCAACTGAGCCACCCAGGCGCCCAGGGAAGGGGATCTTATACCCAATTTAAGGATGGTGCAACTTCGAGCAGAGTTTAAAAAATTTATTTATTAAACAACTACTATATGAAAATTATTATCTATATGCTAAAAGAATAGATACCATACCTAGCCTTAAAGAGCCTACAATAAGTTGATATGAAAGTATACACATACACGTTAAGTTCAGAATGACTGGCAAGGTAATTTAGTAACAGTTACACACTGTAGCACCAACTAAATTGGAAGCACTGAGGTCAAATGAATAGAAGTTTAAGAGGGAAGAAAAAGCATTTCAGGGTCTTTCAGAAATGAGAGGGATGTGGAAGAATCTAAGGGACATACATGAGCCAACAGGAAAAGAAAGGTTTTACAGGTAGGGAACACAAGTGATGAGGGCCTGAATTAGAGTGGAAGTTTAAAAACTATATAGGGAGAGCCTTAGCCAAGACAAAGAAAAGAATGAATCCATCTTGCAATATGACTTATGTAACTGGTAAAATAGAGGTGGAGTAGAATAAGAAACACATAATCTCTGTCCTTGAAAAGTACACAGTCTGATTAATGGGATGCAGAACTGAGAAATGAGTTAGATTTTTCAACACTTTAAAAGAAAGAATAAATGAAAGAATAAACAAACTGAAAGTACATGAAATGTGTAGTCCTTACTTCCATAACAGCAGAAAAGGATTACACTGTGACTCCCACTCTCCCACATTCATGACTCAAGAGAAAGCATGGGATTGGTACATTTTGATGAGCAGTTTTAAGAGTTCCTTCTTATAAAAAGAAGCTTAATTCAAAGTTCCTTGGGAAATCACATCTTAAGAAACTGAGCGAGCCAGACCTGAGTGCTTCTCTCCAGTGTGAGTTCGCTGGTGATGATTAAAAGTGGAACGCTGACTGAAGGCTTTCCCGCACTCAATACATTCATAGGGTTTCTCTCCTGTGTGAACTCTCTGGTGCACAATGAGCTGTGAGCTGTCACTAAAAGCTTTCCCACAATCACTACATTTATAGGGTTTCTCCCCAGTATGGGTTCTCTGATGCACCATGAGACTAGAGCTATAACTGAAGACCTTCCCACACTCATTACATTCATAAGGCTTCTCACCAGTGTGAATTCTCTGGTGAATAATAAGGTGTGAGTTTTGGTTGAAGGATTTTCCACACTCATTGCATTTATAGGGCTTTTCACCTGTGTGAAGTCTCTGATGTCGAATAAGACATTTACTCAGACTGAATGCCTTACCACACTCATTACATTCAAAAGGTTTTTCTCCAGTATGAATTCGCTCATGGTCAACAAGTTGAGAGATCTGACGGAAAGCTTTCCCACATTCACTACATTTGTATGGTTTTTGCCCAGTGTGGAGGCTCTGATGTCGAACAAGACATTTACTCCGACTGAAGGCCTTGCCACATTCATTACACTCATAAGGCTTCTCCCCAGTATGGATCCTCTGATGGTCAATAAGATTTCTATTAGAACAGAAAGCTTTCCCACACTCACTACACTTGTAAGGTTTTTTACCAGTGTGAACCACCTGATGCCGGACAAGACTTTTACTACGAATGAAGGCCTCACCACACTCATTGCATTCATAAGGTTTCTCCCCAGTATGGGTTCTCTGGTGGTCAATCAGTTGGGAACTCTGAGTGAAGGCTTTTGCACATTCATTACATTTATAGGGTTTCTCACCATTATGGAGTCTCTGGTGTTGAATAAGATGGGAGCTGTGTCGGTAAGTCTTTCCACACTCATTGCACTCATAGGGCTTTTCCCCTGTGTGGGTTCTGAAATGAACTATGAGCTGAGAGGTCTGCCTGAAGGTCTTACCACATTCATTACACTCATAGGGTTTCTCTCCAGTGTGGATTCTCTGATGCCCAATGAGGTGTGAACTCCAATTGAAAGCTTTACCACATTCATCACATTGATAAAATTTCTGTCCCTTCAGAACTCCTTGATGTTCTGCAGCACTAGAGGACAGATCTGGATGTTTCCCAAGTTCACTATATTCATCACATCCATCTTTTGTGGATTTATCCTTATCCTCGTGCGTTATTTTGAAGAAATCACTTTCCAGTCCACTCCCTTCTTCATCTGAAGACTGCCCTTCCAGCTTCTCTAAAGTACCTTCACAGGCAGCTCCTGTCTCTGGTTCCCCAGAAACTACTCCACAGAGGCCTCCTGATGTCCCATCAGATGACGCCGATCCTTTAGAAACTTCCTGCTTTGCAGGCAACTCTGAACGCCGCATCCTAGTCTCACCTGCTGCCAAAAGAAAGAAGAAAACAACTCTTATTCGTTTCTTGTCCTGCTGATGAAACAGAATCATCAGGAGTCTATGGACCTGAAAAAACCTTCACATTAAGGGACACATTAAGAGATGACACATTAAGAACAAGAGAAAGATGGGAAATAGCTCAAGCTTTTCTTCAAGGACAGAAAGACAAAGAGGACAAAGGCAGTCAGTGGGGGAGGGTGGAAGAAGAGCTATCAGGACAGAGCTCTGTCGTGAAGCTCTTAATTTCTCCACGTTAACTGTCCAACTAAAAAGAGCAACTGGAAGGCAAGAGCGCAGACTGTAAAGGTGGTGTGATCTTACAGAAGTCACTTAGTAAAATGATGAACTCTAACGTCCTTTCCAACCATGACACTGTATGGTTCCATGGTTCCCAGTAAAGATACTGGGGAGAGAAAGGAGAGGCAAATACCTCAAATCAAATATGAGAAACAGTATGAGCAAACACAGTTAGGAAAAAACGTACCAAAAAATGATTCTCATATGTGAGGACAGTGACAAGATTCAGAGAAGTCACAGGTTCAGAAATGCTGGGGAAAAGTACTGGAAGGGACAGCAGAGCTGTAAAAGTGGGGATTCCCCTAGTCTCTGGTGCACTAGACTGGTAGAAGTCAATACAGCAAGTACTACATTCCTATAAAAATTAAGAAAGGGATCGATAATTTGAAATAGGAATCAAAATATGTCTTTGGTATCTTGATAATCTGGAATCCTAGGAAACTGAACAGTTAAGTATTTCCTTTTGAATTTGGAACAGGTGGAAGTAGCAAGCAATCAGTCATGTCTAAAACACAAAACTGTTGGTTCCTTTTAATCGTATCTTAACCAGGGCCACAGGCCATCATATGGCATTTCAGCATATAGGGAAGATATAGATATCTGGCTCCTGGACTCCTAAGCCCACCCACCCTCTCTAGAGTTGGCTACTGTGCTAGACTTGCCAACCAGGGAACCTGCCCTGAAAACTCCCCTTTCCAGGAAGCTGTCCTGCCTCAGTCCTTCCCAAAGGGGAAGCTGAGGCAGCCATGCTTTGTGCCAAGTAACTGGTCTCAATACATCTCAGACCACGACTGACTAGACCAGGGCACCAGGCCCAAGTGTAGCTTCTCTGTATGCTACACCTCTGCTGTGGCCAGGGGCAAAGTTCTGCCCAAACAGAGATGATACTTAAAGGCTGAACCACCCTTGGAGGCCCTCTCTAAGTAAAATGTGAGCTGGAAATAGGGCAAAATAAAGAAAACTAAAACAAGAAGGAGCTCTAAACTGAAATGAGGCATGGAGAGAAGCCAAGCCATTAGGAGCCATAGCATGCAGAAAGTACGTGGGAACGGATAGTCTAATAAAGAAGCAACTATGAGAGGACAAAAGATACAGAATGAAGAAAATGGGTAGCAGTGGGAGGACAAAACAGATATGCGGGGAGCAACAGCATTACATTCCCTGGCATAAAAATTATTTGCTGTTGTTGCTGAGGGCCCTGTTTCCCAAAAGATGGTCTAGCTGGTGGGTTTGATCAGGGTTTCCATTCCTTCAGCCTTATTTTAAGTAACACAGCTCAGTACTTACAATAATGTGAGTGGCTCCCTATTCCTTACAACTACAAACTCTAACCAAACCACCCTAGGTCAATTAATAATGAAGTAAAGACAATGTTGATAACTTAAGGCTGAGTGATGGGCACAGAGAGGTTCATTAGAGTATTCTCTCTACTTTATCTCATGTTTGCAACTTTTCATAATAAAAAAGTTGACAAAAAAAAAAGAACATAGCAAAGAAAATGTAAAGAAAAGAATGCAGACTGTATTACTGGGGAACAGAATCATTACCCAATGAGGCCATGCTGCAATAATTTTCCGGCACGATGCTCCGGTACACGGCTCTCTGACTGAGGGCTGGACCTTTCCACTTCCTCTCAGTATAGTCCACAGACAGGAACTGGTACGCTGCAGATCCCTGGAATGACAAGCTTCTATTGCTCAGGGATATTCCCGGCCTGAAGGGCAGACACATCAGGGTACCAAGAGCCCAGGTCGGGCCCTGGTGGGGAAAGGGGTGAGGGAGGGAGAGAAGCTGGGATGACACATCTAAAAGGACAAGTTCAGGGCCAGACAGAATCCATGAACTCAGCAGGCAGGGCCCAATTCCAGAGGAAGCAATTAGGCAGGGAAACCGCAGGATTAATCTCAGAATTGGCCAGAGCCCTGGAGATGAGCGCTAGCTATTCCCAGGCCACAGACTTGGGAACTCAGGGAAGACAGAGTCCAGCTCACCTGGGGCCTGACCATCCGAAGCACAGTTGCCACTGCCTGGTCTCCTGACTTCCCAGCTTGGGAAAGGGCAGGCATCTGAGAAGTACACTGACCTGAGGGAGGAAAGAGAGCTATGAGAAGAAGCCCTGCCTTGGCTCCAGTAAGATCTGTATCCCAGTGAGTGGGTTCAAGAGAACCCAGGCAGCTCCACACACTGCCTCTCATCCCCCTTCCATACAGGCGTTATTCTGACTGTGCTGTGAATTTTCCATGCAGATGTTATTCTGAGGGTGCAGAGGGTTCCCTGGTCCAACTGAGAACTGGCCATTCCTCCCAGCCCTCACTCGCTTCAAACTCTCTGAAGGAAGCTATACTTCTGCCCACTTTCTTTCCCTATGGCTTCCCTAGCATCAGCCCAGCCTGATCTGCCCCTCACATTTCTGGCCCCTCATTCCTGATTTCCCTTCCTTCTCTTGGCTTCTCATTATGGACACTGCAGGTGCTCCGGCCTCAGAGCGTCCCTTTTTGCTCTGTCAGAGATCTCACGGACTCTCAATGCTCCAATGCTGTTTCCCCAGTTCCAGCTCTCTTCCAGACCCCTATTACAGAATTCTAGTGGCCTACTGGACATATGAATTGGGTGTCCCTCATCACCTTAAATTCAGTCAAAAATGGACTTTCTTATCAACTTGCTTTCCTGACTACCCAGGTTCTGTTAATGAATCCAAATATTGGCCAAACCTCGTAATTCTCCTTCCTCTTCATTGTCCCGTGGATTCTTCCTGCACAATGTGTCACCTGTCTCTCTATTTCTATTCCACTCAGTATTGTTCAGGCAATGATCACCTCATATCCATTCTGGGCACTGGCCTCTTACCGGGGCTTCCAACCACAGCTCTCACCATTCATCCCAGAGTGGTCACATGCATTAGAATAATTCTCCCAAAATACCGTTTCTAACACATCAACCCCCACCCATCAAAATTTTCCTAGCCTCAACCGTTAGGCCCTGTTCAAGAGACCCCATGCTCCTCAAAACAGTTCTTCCTTATTCCATCTCAGTGGGGTTCAAGGAACCCCCACTTAGAGTTTCTGCTTATATCCTCTGCTCTGGTGCCTACCACTTTTCTCCCCCCTTCAATTTGCTCCCCCATTTTTCACTGTCACATCCCACTGCTACCTCATCCACGAAGCCTCTCCTACCCACCCTGCCCATAATGATTTTGCTCTATGTTTACAATGTCCATATTGCTCATTTTCATGGCATCAAATGCCTGGGAACAGGTATCACTTAATGTATCTTACAAGGATACCTCTTTTTGCAGTTGACTGACTCTCTGCCAACTAGATAAGAAGCTCTTTGAAAGTAGTGACTGTGTACTGTATCTCTCTGGTCCCCAACAGTGCCTTACCCATGACATGTGCTAGACAAAAACTTGCTAAATGCATGAATGATTGGAGAATAAGCAAAAGGAACAGATAAAGTCACTAGGAAAGGAAGACAGAGGGCAGGGCAATGAGGGATTCCAACGGGGTGGGTTAGAGGGAGATAAAGGAAATGAGACTTGAGGAGAAAAAGGAGGCAGGATTTGAGGCCAGAGCTGGGGAGTTGAGTACCAGAGTGCCCACTGGGGAGGAGGTCATGAGGAGGCTCCAGGCGGCCTCCAGAGGCTGAACCCTCACTGAAGGGTGAGGTAGGAAGAGATTCTTCTGTTGTACCCAGGGTTGTCGTCTCCTCCAAACACATTTCCTGTTCCTGTACAGTACCTGAAACCTAGAGACAAGAATTATAATTGGATTCAAAAGAGCATCCTTCAAGGTATAGAACCCAAAACCTCTAGAAATACCCCCAAAAAGAAGCCAGGAAAAGAAGAGCCATTGTCCTTCCCGCCCCACCAGTACAGCCTACTGGGAGAAAAACTGTCAAAACAGGATCTATAGCTTGCAATCCTGCTTGCTATCCCTCTGTTGAACCTCTTGGTAGGAGCCTGAAGACCAGATTATATAACCATTTCCATTTTGTCAATTCTTCAGACACAAATTTGCTCATGAAGAACAATCTAGAAAAAGGAGCCAGGAGGGCAATTCTATACACTCCTTGTGACCTTAGTCTACAGAAAAGACCAACCAGAAGTACCTAGAAAATAAAAAATGATAGATGTATATACGTATACATGCACATAGAATGCTACTGAGGCTGACAGCAGAAGCAACAGCCCAGAATAGTGGCTGACAAACCTCAAGAGAGCTTTTCCAATTTCTCTCAGCAAAAGTGTTTCTTCTTCAGAGAAGCCATTCCTAACCACACTGACAAAGCAAGGGTAGTAGTCACTCTCTCTCAAATTACCTGATTACATTTTCTGTGTCTTAACCCTTAAATTATCTTATTTATGCCTTTATTGTCTATTTCTCCCCCAATGAAATAAAAGCTTTTTTTTTGTTGTTGTTGTTGTTTTTTTCTTTTTGAAATAAAAGCTTTTTGAGGGTAAGAACTTTGTCTTGATCACTTGTTCCTAGAACAATGCTTGGCCCAATGTTGGTGTTCAGTTAAAATCTGTTGACTGATTTTCTCTTGATACTTTTTTTTTCTCGATACTTACCATTAGTTTTTACGGTTATCTGCAAACCCAGTTTTCAATATGTACTAGCCCTCCAAAATAAGGTATATAAAAAGTCAAATAAGATCAGGTAATACCAATCTTTAGAGACCTTGAGAATACCTCAGAGATAGGTATTTCTAACCCTTGCTTATTGTCATCAAACCAGCTCCTCACAATCTCATGGTTATTTTTTTCACCAGCATTTGGAGCTGAAAACCTAAAATACCATCTAAATGAATCACATTTATAGGCTCATTTGCTGGCACTGCCACGTACACAGTACAGCCTAAGGTGAAAATAACTTCTTCACAAAACCTGCTGGATTTGCTCCATTGGGTTACATCTGCTGAGATGTGAAGGGACTCTCTCCTTTACTGTATATCTCTCCAGCATAATGATAGAAACAGGAGGCTCCCTGGAGTCTCCACTGGACAGTTCTTATAAATGGGAGTTACAGCTCTTAAATACAGCTGCTGTGGGTATTGGAAGAAGACAGAACTTAACTGCATCATGATAACACAACCTTGAAATTCACCAACAATTAAATGCTTGTCCAGTTCCCATTCATTACCTAGGATTCAGACTCCCAGGTTTCTTTTCTTTGTAGGCAAGAAAACCCCGTTCCAATTTTCATTCTAAGATGGCACTCCACAGCAAGCTAGTAGGGGAAAACTAGTGGCTTAGAACCTAGGGAGCTAGAAAATTCTGATTCCCACACTTGGTGGTAATCAGCAATAACCACACTTCAGTTAAATCTCATGGACAAAGAGAACTTTCACTAATTCTGCCATTCGAGATGAGTCAATCTCTCTGTGCTTGCATCACTTGTCAAATGGAGATACGATTACTATCTGCATATTTTGTAAGCCTGCTAGGAACTGAAATAAGATACAGGATATAAAAGCATTTTGTAAACTGCATGATTCTGCAGCCCTGCAGGGATTGCTCTACAACCCTCTCCAGCCCCAAAGTGCACATATGCACATGCTCGCTCCTGCTGAGCAGAATGAATCTGATCTGCCCTGATATTCCTTAATCTTCTCCTGGCAAACTGCCATGAAAAAGTATGTTTATTCATTTAGCCATAAATATATTTTCTGAGCCTATGGTAGGAAAGACAGTCCCATTCTCATGTCTTCCACATCAGAAAAAACTTAAGCTGACAATAATAGCAGAGTAAGAAATAGAGTCCAAAGACCCATCCCAATCAGGATGAGCCTGATTCAGTCAGTTACAAAACCTTAAAATCAGAGCTGAAAGTTCCATGAAAAAGTAATTCTGCATGTAGACAACAGCTTCAGCCCGTGCCTGAGTTCCAGCTGGCCCTTCCTGATGGCCTGCTCTACAGATTTCCGACCTGTACTGCCAGTCCTCATAATCATTTAAACCACTCTGTAGCAAATCTATAGATATATACACAAATATAAATATACAATATATATAATTTCCTGCTGGCTTTGCTTCTTTGGCTACACCCTGACTGATACACATGGTCACGGAGCTAGTTAGCTCTGTGTTCCTAGAAGCCAAATTTCCCACTGTTATCACACTGCTGACTCTCCAACTTCTCTAATTTGAATTACCTTGGCTTTAAATTTGAGAGAACCCTAGGAAACAGGGTAAACCAAAATGAGAATTAAAGAAAAAAAAAGAAAGACCCTGGTTGGGTTTGGAAAGTTAGAAAAGAAACCAATGATTATGAGGCCCAGAAGTGTCACCTCTCATCAAGAACCTAAAATGCAGAAAGAGAGATAACAGACTCTGAGAAGTCCAAGGAAGTAAGTAATGAGAACTTCTCAAATGAAGGTCCGTGTTATCAACATACCCAAAAATCTACTCCCTACCACACTCCCCCATTCTAACCAGTGGGCAGATCCTCTACATGCCAGGAGTACTGTGTAGATCTCCAGGTTGAAGCAAGGCTCACGACACAGTAGTTCACAAAGCAATGCACAGAGTTTGTCTGGGAACTGTATTTTTGTTTATGACTTGAAGCACAAAACTATTTCCTTGCTATCCATGGAACTGGCTCAGGAATCCTAAGGGTAAACCAGCCTAGAGCCTAGGGAACGGAGAATGACTAATCCAACCACCAGAGAAGGGTTCCAGATGCCATTCTGGGCTCATCTGCTTACCTCTCCTAGGTGTCTCTGAAAATCCTCCACCACGGCCACAGCCTCCTCGCCACTCTCAGGGTGATGCAGCTGCACCCAGGTCCGTAACTCCCCAGGCAGGATGCTCAGGAACTGCTCCAGCACCAGCAGCTCCAGGATCTGCTCCTTGGTGTGTACCTCTGGCATCAGCCACCAGTGGCAGAGCTCCCGGAGCCGGCTCAGTGCCTCCTGCGGCCCAGACATCTCATGGTAACATAACTGCCTGAAGTGCAGCCGGAAAATTTCACAGACAGGAGGGTGGTTCTTTTGGAGACTGCAGCCCTGACCCCAGGTCTGGCTCCCTGGCTCCTGCTTCATGGTCTGGCGCCCCTCCTGTTTCTGGAGAACAGCACCCCTAGGGAGGAGGCCTAAAGTTCCCCTGCCTTGGGTGGCCATTGTGACCTCCAAGAGAAGCTTGTTTCAGCTGCAGTTTGTCCAATTAAAATGATGTTTTGTAATTCAGGTCTCAGGAGCTGTTTTCAGAGTTGGGGACAGAGGGCAATGGGGGTGTCACCTACAAAAACATCAAGAGAGAAATCAGAGTCCCAGAGTGTTCAGCCCCAGGCTGACAACAGACTATCTACAGTTAAAAACCAAAGCTCCAGGGGTGCCTGGGTGTCTCAGTCAGTTAAGCATCTGACTCTTGGTTTCCACTCAGGTCATAATGTCAGGGTCATGAGATCAAGCCCCATGTAAGGCTCGGTGCTTAGTGCAGAGTCTGCTTAGGACTCTCTCACTCTCCCAGTGCCTCTCCCCCTGTTCACATACTCACTCTCTCTCTCTAATAAATAAATAAATAAATCTTAAAAAAAAAGTCTCCAGGAAAAAAAGGAGGGAGGCACAACCAGGGAAGTCTCTAAGCATCCCTCCAAGGGACTTCCCTTCTTAAACTTTCAGTGGCTCCCATAACCTACGGGATAAAACCTAAATGTGTATGCCTAGCATTCACAGCACTTCACCACCTGGCCTTGGGCCCTGTTCTAGACACACCCCTTACCACTCTCCCCGGGTACCCAGGCTAGAGAAGCTGCAATAATCTCCAAATGAGGAATATGCAAGATGACCCAAAGGGTATATTAAGAACACACTAAGTTGTTACTTATCTCCTATTTATGTTTTATAATGTGTACTGAAATTTGTAAAACAATACATAGATTTAATTTATAAGTAAACCTATGCTGGAAGTGAATGCTCAAAGCTCTTCTACTCTCCTCTATTGTGACAGAGATGCACAATAAACTTTGGGACTAAAGCTCTAAAGACACAGCTAGAAGCCACACATACTCTTGTCCTGTTTGGATTTTTCTTCTTCAACTTTTGACAAACTCTCACTCATCTGTCAAGACCCAAAACAAATGCCATTTTCTCCTGAATGCTTGTTTTCCTGATTGCCCCATGCAGGAAGAAAGCTGGTAGCCTCCTTCTCTGTACTTCTCACTGAAACACTGTTGTTTTAACTAGTTTATGCACAACTTGCCACTCACACCCTCTTACTAGACAGCCACCAAAGGAGAGGTACCCAATGGAGTCAGTAAATGCTAGACCTTTTTCTACTCAACCACCTCCCCCAGAAAACCTTCCTGATCTCTCCAGGCTTAAGTGTGGTTATTGCTTCAGAGAGCCCACAGTACCTTTTTCATTCAAACCTCTACTAGAACACTTATCACACTGTTTGTGGTTTACACTTCTGTCTCCCCCACTTCGGGTAAGGACTCAAGGGCAGGGCTGGTTTCCAGTCTTCTTTTGTATATATACACTCTGTGTGTGTGTACACATACACCTTTAGTAAACGAATGAATGTGGTTCATTTACCTGATACTGAAGTGGGGGAAGACACTTTTATCCAGTTTATATACCGTAAAACTCTGAAAATCAGTACCTTAGTGGTAACTAGGGCATCAATGCTAGGCACCATGCATCTCAGTACCCTCGGTAAGCTACTTCTCTCTAGGCTTCAATTTCTGTTAAAAAAAAAAAAAAAAAGAACTTTAAAATAATCTGTTAACTCTGCTCTGAGATCCCACACCTGTAAAAAGTTCTGATCATTTTCCTACTAGTTCCGAATGCTCAGCAGCTAATCTCATCTGCACTTTTGGGTCTCCAAGTGACACTTCACGTTTTTAATTTCAAGACTGTCTGACCCACTTCTGACGCTTTGTATTGTCTCTCAGCGCAAGGCTGGGAAAATATCCATCTACATTTTGCGTTAAACCAGGGCTTCTGCGGCGCAGCTCACCTGGCCATGTCTGCCTTTTTCTGCGCTGTACCGGTAGGTGCCGGGCTCTCGGCCAGGCACAGTTGGTCAAGGGTACCGGACAAAGAGGCGGCTCTACAACTGGCAGCTTCAGAGCTCACAGGGACCGCGCCAATGGCCGCGGAGGCAAAGCGTGTACCGGGCCGGCGTCGCCGATCAGGGCTGCGGGCGGCCGCGGCTCCAACCCAGCGACCCCGGCCCGGACAGCACCTCCCTCCCCGCCCCTGATCCGCTCACCCGGGTACAGTCGCGGCGACCCCTGCGTGCGGGACACAGTCGTAGCCCGCGGAAGCGAAAACAATGGCCGAGCCGGAAGAGAGAAGAGGGACCACTTCCGGCCCCTCCAGGATCCCGGAAATCTCTGTGGCGAAGGTGGGCGCTCACTTCCCCGCCCTCGGATGGGAGAGCGGGACCGCGGGAGCCAGTATAACCTGCACCCGGGCCAGGCCGGGCCACCTCGGAACGGAGAGAGGGCGGGGCCTAAAGGTTTCAGGCTGCGCACGTGCCCCTCTCAGACCGTTCAAAGTCTGAGCTACGCATATGCACCCCAGCTCTGCCCCTACCCCTTCTGCTGACCTTGGGAAATACACCCAACTTCTGAGACTGTTTCTGTCATCTGAAAAATGCAGAGCATAATGTGTGCTTCATAGGGCTATGAATGCTGACAGGGGTAACATACAGACACCACATAGCAAAAGGCCTGGCATATACTGTATGTGATGCCCAGGGCATTTTCACCCAATCTGAGTTTCAGTGAACAGGCATCTCCATCCTATTAATGAAGAAACAGGCCCAGTGACTGATATTTTGGCCAATGGATGTGGTTAATCTTTCCTAAAGTTAAGCACTGGCAATCTGCTGTCCAAGGAAGGGCCCCCATGGAGTGTCGAGGAGCAGATAAAAAGTGGAAAGGTAAGGGGACAGCATATCTAGATGCACTTGTCTAGTATCTGGGTGACAGGAGCTACCCAGGTGGTCTTCACCTGGAAGAATGATTTGCATACAGAAGCAGGATGTGAACAGGTCCCTGCTGCTAACATGATTGAGCAGGCCCTGAAGCCACAACCTCTAGATATAATGGCCATGGATGAAGGGCAGAGGATAAGACCAGCCACTTTCCCATAGAAGTAGCTGTATCTTATGTAGCTTTTTGTATCCCAGAAGGTAGGTCATTTACAGGCTGCAAAGTAACAGTCTCCTGGGATATCCAGGCGTCAACAATATCTCTAGGGTGTTCTGGGCCAACCTCTAGACCTGACATGTCCCTCAGTTCCCTGCACAAGCCAGGACAGAAACAAAGGCATCAGAAGACCTGTAGAGTTTTCACAAGCTCTAAAGGAAGTCTCTTGGAGTAGTCTTTGCCCACTCAGCCTAAAGGGTGTCCTTCTGATATTAAGGTCACCCCCTACATTTGGAAACCTCACAGGGAGGTCTTGGCTATCTCATCCTAGCTTCTGCCTGTCATTGCCACTGGATGTGGCCCATTGGTCCATTAAGGCCTCAGAGACTCAGGGTTCTTAAGCAAGAAATCTCTTAAGGCTAGGCCAAATGCTGTCAGCTCCAATTTTCAGGTTTCCCTGATCATGTGTTGTCCAGCAGTTCTAGCTGCTTTGGAGTATGTAGGAGACAAGATCTGGAAAACAAGATTGAGTTCTTTTATTCCTTAGAGCTGCTTCATGCCCAGGCAGTTGGCTTTCATTGTCTGTGAGGGCCAGCTTCATCAGGGCAGTATGTCTAAACTTCATAGGTCCCTCTGTGGCCAGCACTGTGGGTCTGATCTACCATGACTGGGTTGAGTCCCAGTGGGAAAGACATGCTCCACGATGCCTCCCATATAGCATTTTTGGGACACCCGCATTTGGGCCAAAGAGATCTGAGGGAACACCACCCTGACCTTTCTGAGAAACCATCACACTAGCTTTGGTATGAGAGCTAACAGAAATTCTATTTGCCTAAAGCAGCATTCATCAGTTCTGAAGCTCCACCCATGTTCCCATCACTGTGAAAGGCACTATCATTCACCCAGGGACCCAAACTAGAACCCTGGATGTCATACCATGGGCTGGGTGACCATGGCCAAATTACTGGGCCTTTCTGTGCTGCAACTTCCTCATCTGTAAAATAAAGATAAGAATAGTACCTAAATCATAGCATTAATATGAGGATTGGATGAGATATATATATATAACACATTTAGAATGGTGCCTGGCACATTGTAGGTATAATAGGTGTTTTCTAGTATGGTTCCTCCCACTTCTTTATCCACTGTATCCAGATTACTGCCAAGGCCTGCTATTTTTGACCCATTTGTTTGTAATAATAATAATAATAATAATAATAATAATAATAATAATAATAGTAATAAACAACAAACTTTTGATTTAAGGAGACCACAAAGACCACACCCAAACTGCTCAGACCTTGTGACATCATCTGTGTGGTCAGTCCCCTCTTCAACAGCCAGGAACTCTTATACACCTTAAAAATAAGGTAGGTCCCTAGAATATGGGCAGGAAACCCCAGGTACTGTGCTTGAATGGGAGTGGATGTTGCCCAAGAGCAGAGACTCTCCTATTACCTTGAAATTTTCTATTTGTTCTTCAAGACTTAGCTGAGAAACCTCCTTCTCCAGGAAGCCTTCTCTATATCCCATCTGTCTCCTTGGATTAGGTGCTCCTTCATTTGTATTTGTCACAGTCCTTATTTGTCACACTGTGTTAACATTGTTTACTTGTCAGCCTTCTCCACTGTACAGTAAGCCCTATGTGAGCTGATACCATGTCTCTCTGGTTCACATTTGAGTCCCCAGGCACAAACTCCAAGCTTGGCTGGTTTTAGTAACTGCCTTCTTGGCTGGAAGAAAAGATCAGGCCACCTTTGTTTCCCTGGTGTGCCTGGCCTAACCTCTAAGAAATAGGTCTTTGATCTGAGTTGCTGTGGAAGGCTTTTTAATCAGGGAAGGAAAATCATAGGTCTGGGTTGTGACTGCCAGCTATATTGAGAGGCTTGGAGGGAAAGAGACAGAGACATCCCTTATATCTGCTTATCTGCTTTGTAATCCCAGTGCCTCAGTAAGACAGGATCATTAGTTTGCAGGTAGTCTTGGCAAATGTCCTGCTAGCTGGGTAACATTTTACTGGCTGAAAAGAGCAAAGAAGAGTTTGAATTCAAATCTATAGACATCCTCTCCTCTTTCTATCCCAAGCGGCTGTCTTTCTCTAAACCCCATTCATTCCTGTTCTTTATTACTCTATTTATTTCTGCTAATGGTGTTCCAGCCCATTATGAGCACGAGGGGGGCCAGTGACACTAATAAAATATGGCTTGAGTTAGACATGGTGGGGAGGGGCACGGACTGTTCTCTTCGACTTTGAGCCTCAGGGACCCTCAGTCCTACTCTCTGGAAGCCAATCCCAGGCAGGGAGACCAACAAGATAAGCAGGCCTCTGAGCTTCCTAGATGGAACTGGAAGTTGCTTCAGGGACCTGAAGACCACAAGGGAATTGCTTCTGGCACATCTTTAGTTCAGGACTCTTTCCAAGCCACTTGCTAGTGGGATGGCAGCTGGGCAGGGGTGGGCGGTGCTGGTGTGTGTGCCATGTCCCAGCCCTGCAGTGGGAGCTGTGGTCCCAGGCTGCCTCTGCCCATTGTTGGTGCTGGTATTGACCTTCACTCGCGACACAGATGGGGAGACTGGCCCAGAGAGCAGTGGAAACCTTCTGGTGACCCCAGTGCATCAGCGAAAGTATTTGGTGGGAATGCTGGCCTCTGCCTCCACACCTAGTACCATCCTGTCTCACCATGCTTCCTTCCCAGGGGCTCTACCCCAGTAGTTTTAGGAGAGTGGACACTATACCCCCCTGTACTCTGTTCTGGTGAAATCCCTGCTCTGGGCCTATCATTGCAATCCTAACCCTCTCACTGGACCTCCAGCTCAGCCTCTGGCCCTTCCTGCTGCAAATCTGCAAAGTGGAAAGAGCATTTTCAGGCCATCCTACCCACAAGTCCCAGCCACCATAGTTGATAGCGAGGACTCATGGACTGCACGAAGGATCTTTAGAGTTGGTAGTCTAGCCACCACCTTCTTATTTCACAGGTGGGGAAATGGGGCCACAAAGCAATATGAGCCAAGATCTGCCTCTCATTCCAGAGACGTCTTTCTGAACCAATGTCTGTGACTTGATTCTCCAAAAGCACCATTTTGGTCTTGGAAATCATAAACTTGACACTGTTGGTTGTAATCTTTCAATTTCTGGGTTTGTTAGATCTCAGATTTGAAATCTAAGTTCTTCCAGAAACATCTCAAACATAGACTAGAATTTCTTTCCAGCCTTGTAAGTATGACAGACCTGAGCCCTGCCTCTTACCATCTAGGATTTGTGATCTTGGACAAATTATGTATCCACTGAGTCTTAAGTCTCTTCATTTGTGAAATGGGGCAAAAAAAAAAAAAATCCATGCCTGCTGACACCTCCCAAGTTGGGAGGATTAAGTGAGGTAAGTTGTGACCTTTGATATGCCCTAATAAGCACTATACAAACATAAGGAAGACATCTATGTAAGAAACTTTGGATTCTAGGAGGGAGATAGGGGAGTAAGAATAAACCTTGAAAATGCCAAGGCAGATATGGGTGACTAGCAAAAAGCAGTATGTGATACCCAATATAATAGAAGTTCAGAGAGCCAAGGGAGGGATTGATTTTGAAAGGGATCACAGTCAGCCTAAAAGGGAATAGCATTGAATTGAGCCTTGAAGTAGGATTTGGACAGGTGTCAGGGGAGAGATGACAACATGATCAAATGTCAAGAGATACACATTTTCGGGAGGGGGTAATCATTATTTCAGTTCAGGTTATTTCCTGTTAGAAGCTGTAGAAAATTAAAAAACAAAACAGTGATATGATTTCTAGTCTTGATGTATAAAATCTCTGTGCCCCTAAACCACCATAATATCTCCTGATGATCCTGTTCTAACACCACTTTAGGGAACAGATGATACTTAACATTCCTTATTGCTACTTGAGCAATTGGAAGAGAGCCAAGAAGAAGCTGTACCCTGATATTCCAGGGAATTTTTACTCCCTCCACATATGAGGCCTCTAGGATACCTCCATCTGCCCTTGCAGCTCTTCTAAGGCTAAGCATATATCTTTTCTAAGAGTATCTAGTGCATTACCCTCTACCCAAATAACACCAATGTTCCACACACCAGTGTGGATTAAGCATGCAGAACTCTGTAAGTGAGTGGATGTTTCCTCCTTGGAGGAGACATTCTGAAAGGGCCAAGCTGTTTCTCCCCAGTTAGCAGTGGGCAG